TTATCTCTCTGTGCATCAGCTTCTATGCATTACTGTTCTCTGGTTTCTATTCCATCAATGGCCTCTTGCGTCTTATCCATTCTGCTCATAAATCCTTCCAGAGATTGTTTCACTTCTGTAATCTCCCTCTAGACGTCATCCCTTAACTCTTGTGTATTTCTCTGCAGCTCCTTCAGCATGTTTATGACTTTTATTTTGATTTTTTTTTCAGAAAGACTGGCTAGGTCTGTCTCCTTCTCAGGGGTTGTGATTTTGGTCTGTATCAAATTCTTCTGCCTTGTCATGGTGATAGAGATAGTTCTCGGAGATGGCACAAGTGATGGCTGGGATGTTGGTTTGTGGCCTTCGCTCCTGGGAGAACAGTGACCTATAGAAGCTTGTGCTGGGCAGCTGTGCACAGATGGGGCTTCTGATTCTTGCCCAGCCACTATGGAGTTTAGCTCCACAGTTGCTGTGGGTGTGGCCTGCCTCAGCCTCTGCTCCAATATGGCAGATCCACTTTGGAGGGGAAATGGCCGGGAGGCTGTTTATCTCTGTGAGGGGCCTCTGAGCTGCCCTGCTGGCCAAGGGATTAGAGTGCCCAGAGTTCTCCAGGATTTCCAGCTGCCGGGCTACATGTCCTTGGATGCTTCTGTCCAGCTGTGGGTCCTTGTTCCTTTAAGACTTTCAAAAAGCACTCTCTTTTCTTTGTCACAGGGGTGCCAGCTGTGCGGACCCACTCACAGTTCTTACTGTCCTGTTTCACTAGTTTACAGCACCCCACGCACACACTGTGTCTGCGCTCTGTTGCAGATGGCGAGGGCTGGCTATTTAGCAGTCCTGGGCTCCTTCTCCCTCCCCGCTCCAACTCCTCTCCTCCCACCGGTAGCTGGGGTGAGGGGCGCTTGGGTCCCACTGGGCCACGGCTTGTATCTTACCCACTTCACGAGGTGCTGGGTTCTCACGGGTGTGGATGTCGTCTGGCTGTTGTCCTGTGTCTTCTGGTCTCTTAGGAAGAGTTGTATTTGTTGTATTTTCAAAAATAGATGTGGTTTTGGGAGGAGATTTCCACTGCTCTGCTCACGCTGCCATCCTGGCTCCCTTCCCCTTTGTTGGCAATTTTAATCAGCTGAGTGATACTCATCTTGACAAAGCCTTCAACTTTTTGGAGTTTTTGTCTGATGTCTGGGGTGGCGTGAGCTATGAATGAGGTGTTGACCATTTATTGGCTCCCTGGTGACTCAGGATTGAAGGTGGTGTAGATATTATAAGCTTCACACAGTCTTTCATAATAGTCCGCAGGAGACTCTCCTGGTTGTTGAGTGACTGAAGAAACTTTGGTCATGTTCATAGGCATTTTGGACCTGGTTTCTATCCCTTGGAGGAGGGCATCCTGATATCAGAAGATCTGGTGCTGTCCCTCAGGGGTGGTGAAGTTCCACTCAGGGTGTTCCTTGGGGACAGCAATTTCAGCCCATGAACTCTGATCAAGGACCCCGGCTGCCTTCTCTCTTCTGTTGTGAATTGGGTGCAGAGAAGCTGTTGACAGTTTTTTTTATTTTGGTCAATGGGTTTGGAAGAGGAATTTCATGAGATCAACCAGGGCTTATGGCTTTTCTGATGGGATGTCAGTTGTGGAGAAGGCTTGGTAGTAATACATGGACTGCCTAGGCTGGGTGGTCCCATATTTATTACATCTTTCAGGCTTCCGTGTCTCTTACACTGGCATCTGAAGGGCTCCTGCTCCTGGCTGTGGGTGTAGTGTGGCTGCTGGTCTGGGACAGTGTAGGTTCACTGGTTCTAGAGTTGGCAGGGAAGCCGATGGCAGCAGGGTATCCGGGACCAGGGTCTGGGTGCTGTTGGCCTTAGGGTTGCATAAGGTAGGGGCAATATTAGCTCTTCCTCTGGGTCTCCTCTGGGTCACCAGCAAGAATCTTCAAATGGCTCAGGCTTCTATTGATTCTTTGTAGCCTTCTTTGTTGAGGTGACTGAGACCCTACCTTGTCCCTGCCTGTTGCAAGTGAATTGCACCCAAGGGGGAAGGGTCTGGGAAACTTCTAACCAGGAGTTAATATATGGGACCTGGTCAGGATGACCTGGATCTCCAGTGATGACCCACTGGAACTGGCAGACTGTTGGGACATCTAGGGCCCATTCTGAAGGCCATCCTACACTAAAGGCGGGCCATTTAGATTTACACAGGGTTTTTAACCTTCTGAGAGTTAATTTTATTCTGCAGTTTCTTAAAAAATATCCCTTCCTCAAATTCTTGATGATGGTGTCAAGAATTATGGGTTTGCTGTGCCCTGACCCCTGACGTGTCCATGTAACTGTGTTGTGACAATGGACAAAAGAGGAGTGCCTCCTCTAGAGAGGAGACCAGTCAGGCACCTGTCTGTTTGTGCTCCTTTGAGAGACTTTGATCAGCCTTGACTAAGGTGCACCTGTATAAGTCCCCGGCCAGGTCAGCTGAAGCTGAGTCACCATTATGTCATGGTAGCCAACCGTGAATATGGTGAAGGGCCCACTCAGATTCTGTAGTGCAGGCTGTGGAATCACAGATTCAGAGAAGACTGAATGGCTTCAGCGGCCCTGCGCACTCACTCACACACTCAGACTAGAGTTTAAACTCACCCCCACCCCCGGGAATGTCTACCTGTGAGACTTCTAAGAAGTCTCTGGAAGGTGATAAGGCTTATCTTCCACCCCAAAAGGTGGGAACTGGCTGGGTCAGGGCCCCTGGGACCTTACCTGATTCAACATTGGAACCAGGTCCTCACCTCCCAAGCCTCCTTGAGTCTGAAGGGAACAGTGGAGCGAGGCCAGCCCGGAACAATCTGGCTGGAGACTGATGAAACATCAGGCAGGGCGCATCTTCTCCATTGTTATCTCCTGTTCCATCACCGCCCTGCCGTTGCCCCAAACCAATGGTAACAAAGGGTCAGCACGGTTGGGATTCCCGATCAGGGAACCTAATGTCACGGAAAAACTTGGAAAAACCTGGACTGGATCGCTGACCAAAGAACCAAGCAGCACTCAGAGGTCTTGGAGTGTTGAGGCTTTAATTTTATTTACACCAGCAGGCTCAGAGGGGAGTAATCTCCCAAGGTCTGGGCCCCTAACAAAGGCAAGGGGAGCAATATATATCTTTCTCCTTCCTTATCTGCAACATTTCTAAGTGCACAGCAAGTAAGCAGTGGGGAGCAAGTTTAGGGAGTGAGCTTAGGAGGGAATGCATGGCAGAGCAGGAATTAAAGGAGTGTTGGATTGTTTTTGCTGAGAAGCAGAAGGGCGCCACCTGGACTAGATTGCTGTCCTTGTATATTTTTCCCTATCAGAAGAACAGTCTTCAACAAGTCCATGGCTTGGGAAGAAAAGAAGGGTAGGACAGGGGACTGTTCCATATTAAAAGCAAATTAAGATCTTCCACAGGACTCAACCTGGAGTCTTATGCAGTCTTAGAATCCAGTGACCAATCTGTGAGAAATATGGAGGACCCTGGTGAAATACACCAAGAACATGCAGTCAGCAAGGTCAGGCTGTGGGAAATTCTTCAGGTCGAATATGGATTCTTCAACAGATAAATTGTCAGGAAGAGAAAGGGATGGAGGGGTGTCCTGTAGATTAAAACAGACTTAACTCTTCAAAAATGCCAAGGTCATAAAAGACAAGGGAAGACCAGGAAACCATTACAGATTGGAAGAAACTAAGGAGACATGATGATTGAGTACAGTATGGGAACTGAAAGAATCCTGGAACAGAAACGGGACATTAGTAGGAAAAAAACCAGTGCAATTCAAATAAAGTCTGGGGTTAGGTTAACAGTAATGTAGCAGTATTGGCTTCTTAGTTGTGATGACTGTATCATAGTTCCATAAGATGTTAATATAGGGGAAGCTAGATGAAGGGTGTGGGAAACTTTCCATATTATCTTTGCAAATTTCCCATAAATCTGAAAGTCTTCCAGAATAAAAAGTTTAAAAAAGAGACAATTTAAGGGACATATCCATTTTTTAATCGGCAAGACTAAACCATAGCCATTAGGGAAGTTTGTGTAATAAATAAAACCATAGAAATACTACGAAAAGACTCTAAATGTCAGGATGAGGGGGTTGTGATTGGAATGGGTGCATGAGAGGCTTCTAGTGTAGGTGAAAAAGTTCTATTTCCTGACCTAGTGACACCTGAAAGGCCACTGTCTTATAATAATTCATTGAGCCATACATTTGTTTTTAGGTGGTTCTCTGTACCTAGGTTTTATTTTACAATGAAAACTTAAAGACAGAGAGAGAGACTGAAGAGACATAAGGTCCAAAAATAATCAGTGTACTTTCTTTGGATCCTGATTCATATTAACCAAGTATAAAAAGATATTTGAATATGGAGTGAATATTAGGTATTATTAGAGAATTATGAAATTTCTTAAGGGTGACAGTTGGCATTGTTATGGAAGAAAATATCCATATTTTTGTAGAGACATGTTGTGAAGTATTTAGGGATGAAATGACATTATGTCTTAGAATTGCTTTGAGATTTTCCAAGGAAAAAAGAAGAGTGGGGAGACAGATGAAACAAGTATGGCAAAATGTTAATAGCTGTAGAACATGAACACAAACTATGAGTGCAAATTTGAAGTTTTGTTGCATTCTCTAGTTTTACATATGCTTAGAAATGTTTATAATAGAAAGTTAAAAAGGGGACATTTCCCCAAACCAGGATGCCTCAGGACAATAGTTTGTCTCAATATAGACCTACCCTTGGGCACCCCCCACCCCACAGACCCCAGAGCTCCCTTCCCACCAGTCTTCTCCCCGAGGTCACAACCCCTATAATCTCAGAGTGCTCTGTGAGAAATGTTTCCTTTCAATGGCTCTCTGAGTCACTAAGACTGGATAGCATTCCTCCATTCTGGTGTCCTAATAATGCCAGGAAAGAGACTCAAAGGGCAAATAAGCAAGGCTTGGGTTCAGACCTAACGGGGCAGTCCTTAGTGCTCCAGAGCCTTCTGCCTGCAGTGGGGGATGTGTGTGGGGCAGAACAAGGAGGAAAGGCGGCAAGTGAAACTTTGTGGTAGTCATATGCTCTCACTACCGAGTGAGCTTCCAGAGGTGGAGGCACCACTGGTTTGGAACACTGCTCTGGAATCTTCACCTCCTTCACTCTTGGGTATCATTCCTTGTTTCAAGAAACCTAAGCACTTACAGAGTCTGATGCTTATACATTGGCCCTTGATCTACCTTGTCACAGGTGAGTACTGATCCGAATGTGTGTGGTGAGAAGCCAGAGTCAGGGGTCATGGCCAGATCAGAGGTAATTTGTATGCTTATGGAAAGTCTCATCTCTGGTTTTTTATTATCTCAGATGGTAGTACAGAGGAAAGCCAAGCAGTCTTGGGTTCTGTGAGTGCCTGGAGGAGGGAGAGATAGAGCCCCAGAGAACAGTGAGGCCAGACATGAGGGGCACAACAGGGTCATGATGGATATGAGTACATGTAGATAATTTCAGTCACTTCCTAGCCCTCCTATCACTACCTGTAAAAGGGAAATGAGGCCCAGAGATATGATCATGATCATAAGGAAGCATGGGAAGTGGGACAGAGGAAGCATTAGCATTACAGACTTAGAGAAGTATAGCCTGTGCTTGTACCAAAGAGTTTTCCATTCTGGCAGGGGTAGGTGGTAACAGGGGAGGAGACAGAGATGATGGAGGGAATGGTGAATGGGAAAGAGGATGAGAATGGTGGATGGGAAATAGTAGAGGGGTGCAGATGCTGCGCGGGCAGGATGTGGGGAGACATGGATAGCTCATGGGCCAGAGAGAGTGGGCTGCCAGTGTAACAAACATTCAATCATGATGGATAGGAAGGGACACAGGAGGCCAGATGGAAAAGAGGGTGGACGAATGGGCACAGGGGGGATAATTGATGGAAGGCAGAAGTCAAGCAGACAGGGATGTCAGGTAAGCAGAGAAATAGGGCTGGTGTGTGGTAGAAGCTAGAGAAAAGATTTGAAGGACAAGTGGTCATGGATTGGCAGGAGCTAGGTTGTACAGAAGGCCAGGGCTTGTGTAGCCTAGAGAGCTCTTAATGGGGCCAGCAGTACATGGCCACGGTCTGCCAGCAACCCGAATCTGGTAGGACCTACTCCCTCATCAGTTTGGATCTTGCAGCCATTTGTCATTTTTCTACTGTTTACACCCTGTGGCCTCTACCAGCCCTTTACTTTGCCCGGTTTTCCTGGACTGGAAGACCCCAGAGCAAGGTAAGACTCATGGACCTAGACAGAAAAGGGCCTAAGAATGTTTCATCTTAACCTGTGACCAGGGAGTCCCACTCACTATGCCATAGGCTCCTCATCCAAATTTCCAGAGCCATGGGAGCTGGGCCAGCCAGAACCATCCAAGGTTGCTTTCTTTCCAGCAGAGCCATGTTCCCTCCATGGTGTTAGGGAAGCTCCAGGGTAAGCAGGATGGGGAGGTGGTGGTGGCACACACCCTCCCTTCCTGATACTTCTGTGTCAGGTGGTAGATATTCAGCCTGGGTACAGAACTGGAGTGTATGGACCCACATCAGAGACTATTTCCGCATTACAGTAAGTGTCTCTTCCCCAGCATCCCTCATGGTTCCCCAAACACTAGGCATTTACTGGGTTGTCCAGAAATAAAATGAGCATTCCAGAGAAGTTGCAGTGCAGGCAGGCATATTTCAGGATCCCATATTGCTACCAGGCCGTTGTGCTACCTGTGAAGATACTTTGGATGCCTTCAGCGTTACCTACCAGATGATGCAGGCTGAGACACAAATACAGTACGGGTCCACTTAACAAATTTTGATTGAAAGTGAGTAGGATTCCATCTTCTGCCATTAGGGAGCCCACATATACTGGGAGGATTGAAGAGTATGCACTTATGGTTTGGTACAAGGTATACAATTAGTTCAGATGAGAGGTAAGGAAAGGCTTTAGAGATATGGTGACCTCTAAGTTGGGTTTTCAAAGTTCAATAAAATTACTTAGGCAGGCACTAGAAAGGGTTGGTAAGGAGAAATACCAGGGAGCAGTTCTAGAAATGTACTGCTATGCAGATCCTCTGGGCTTACAGTCTCCGTCCATCAGCATAGTAAGATGCTATAGAAGCACTATTTATCTTTTCTGTGTTGTACTGCCTTCCACCTGGCCCCCCCTCATTATGTCTGCTAATCATAATGCCCCTCTTTCCCCCTTATCCATCCCTTCCCACCCATCCTCCCCAGTCCCTTTCCCTTTGGTAACCATTAGTCCATTCTTGGGTTCTGTGAGTCTGCTGCTCTTTTGTTCCTTCAGTTTTTTTCTTTGTTCTTATGCTCCACATATGAGCAAAATCATTTGATACTTGTCTTTTTCCACCTGGCTTATTTCACTGAGCATAATACCTCCAGCTCCATCCATGTTGTTGCAAATGGTAGGATTTGTTATCTTCTCATGGCTGAATAATATTCCATTGCATATATGTACCTCATCTTCTTTATCTGTTCGTCTACTGATGGAGACACTTAGGTTGCTTCCATTTCTTCGCCATTGTAAATAGTGCTGTGATAAACATAGGGGTGCATATGTCTTTTTAAAACTGGGCTCCTGTATTCTTAGGGTAAATTGCTAAGAGTGGAATTCCAGGGTCAAATGGTATTTTCTATTCTGATTTTTTTGAGGAACTTCCATACTGCTTTCCACAATGGTTGAACTAATTTACATCCCCACCAGCAGTGTAGGAGGGTACCCCTTTCTCCACATCTTTGCCAACATTTGTTGTTTGTCTTTTGAATGGTGGCCCTCCTCACTGGTGTGAGGTGATATCTATTTATGGTTCTAATTTGCATTTCTCTGATGATCGCAATGTGGAGCATCTTTTCATGTGTCTGTTGGCCATCTGAATTTCTTCTTTGGAGAAGTGTCTGTTCAGATTCTGTGCCCATTTTTTAATTGAATTATTTGCTTGTTTGTTGAGGTGCATGAGCTCTTTATATATTTTGGATGTCAACCCTTTAAGGGATCTGTCATTTGTTAATATAATCTCCCATACTGTAGGATACCATTTTGTTCTTTTGAGGCGTCGTTTGCTGTAAAGAAGCTTTTCAGCTTGATATAGTCCCACTTGTTCATTTTTGCCTTTGTTTCCCTTGCCCCAGGAGGTATGTTCATTAACAAGTTGCTCATGTTTATTTCCAAGAGATTTTTGCCTGTTTTTTTCTAAGGGTTTTATGGTTTCATGACTTACATTCAGGTCTTTGATCCATTTCGAATTCACTTTTGTGTATGGGATCAGACAATGATCCAGTTTCATTCTCTTACATGTAGCTGTCCAGTTTTACCAACACCAGCTGTTGACGAGCCTGCCATTTCCCCATTGTATATTCATGGCTCCTTTATCTTATATTAATTGTCCGTATATGTTTGGGTTAATATCTGGACTCTTTTTTCTGTTCCACAGGTCTGTGGGTCTGTTCTTGTGCCATACCAAATTGTCTTGATTACTATGGCTTTGTAGCAGAGCTTGAAGTTGGCAAGTGAAATCCCTCCTGCTTTATTCTTCCTTCTCAGGATTGCTTTGACTATTTGGGATCTTTTGTCATTCCACAGACTAATATCTTGATCCCCTGAGTCCCACTTATGGTCTGTCTACTGAGAAGCTCTGCTGTGGAGGATACCCTAATCCCTGCAGTGTCTTCAACCTTGCTTTCTCATGCGGCTCATTTTACCATGTGTGGCATTTCTCTCCATAGCTGCAGATCCTGAAGACCAAGGACCTGTCACCTGAGCACAACTACATCATGGGGTTCACCCTCATGGCCTCTTGATCTTCGGTGCCTTCTGAAACTTCTGTACTGAGGCCACAGGCTTTTCAAAAACCTTCCCAGGCATCATGTCCCACTTGTCCACATGTCCTGGTTTTTCAGGATCCCCTTTGTTAGAGACTATCTCATGGCCAAAGGTGCTACCAATCATACTTAGTGGAGCTTCCAGCCTATTTCTCTGCTTGGAGATGCACCTTTTTAAGCCCCATCTCTACCCCTCAACCCCCCTCCCCATCATTATAGCATAGTAGTTAAAAACCTCATCTATACCCCAGAGCCCCCCTCCCCACCACTGGAGCCCCCTCCTCACCATTACAGCATGGCAGTTAAAAGTCCCATCTCTACGCCTGAGCCCCAGTCCCCAGCATTATGACATAGTACTTAAAAGCATATGTTCCATAGCTAACCTGCCTGCCTTTGAATCCTGGCTCTGCCACTTACAGTGTGGTCTGGGGCAAGCTACTGAGCCTCTATTGGTCTCAAAGTGGTGCTGTTGATAATAGTGTGACCTCAGAGGTGGTGTGATAACTAAATGAAACAATACAAGTAAAGCATTCAATATAGTGCCTACCACAGAGTATGTGCTCTGTGAATAATAGCTGCTGCTATTAATAGTAACAGAGGAAAAGGAAAAGGGTAGAATTATAGCTGAATTCAGACAGTTATCTCACTGGAAACCTTCCTACTGTATTGCAACCCGGACCCTCCTGTAAAATGGAGATATTGCCTCAAAGTAAAACGTGTTGTGTCTATCCACAGCCTTCTCTTCTCCACACCCTTTGTCCCATCCCACTGACTCTCCCCCTGGGGTGCATGGGAGCAGAGGGCATTCAATTCAGTGAGGAGTAGAGCAGAGAGTGTTCCCTTCCAACCACTTCCCTCTCTCCTGATCATTCTGCTCCTCTCTCTGCTCCTTGATCCTTTTCCCGTGTGTGCTCCATGAGTCAGGCAGCCATCAACTACCTGCTAAACCATGGCACTGGCAACTTCGTGGGCACTGTCATGGGAGGGGTGGGAGAGGCCCTGTAAAGTGTGCCCAGTGTCACCACCATCCTCCTCCACAAGTGCAAGGGGTTTGTTTGCACACCCCTCTGGCACAGGTAGGCCTTCCAGCCAAGGTGGGGTGGGTGGCCTCTGAGCAGCATGACCTCGTAAGCAATGCCAAGATAAATCAGGCATGAGTCTTGCCATCATAGAACTTACTAGTGAGTAGGGGAGATGGCCATAGAATTTCAAAAAGCTTTAGGTCATCCACTCATCCTGGGTTGGCTGAACCAGTTCTCAGGAAGCCAAACCAGAAGTCGGGATTCATTATCGAGAGGTTTGGCTAGTGCTCCCCTACTATACAGATGACACTCACATTGTCTCTATCAACATCAGCATCTCAATCTGCTTGTTAAAGGGAAGTGTAATGTACTCAGTACATTATGCTGAGTATGCGCATAGGATCTGGAGTCAGTGACCTGACTTAAAATCCTGGCTTCAGGGCTTACTGTACACTCTGGGACAGCTTACTTAATTATTTCGAGCTTTGGTATTTTCATCTTCTTGATGTGGCTACTAATAATTGTATCTACTCCATAGGATTATCATGGGATTTAAGTGAATTAATCCACATGAAACACCTACCATGTCCTGGCACACAGTAAGTGACAGATACATGTTAGCCATTCTGACTTAAGGTAAAGAGGAGGTAAAGAGCAAGAGCCCCAGGCTGGAGCTGGGGGTGGGGTGGGCATCAGGTCAGCAGGCCAGCTCATTGGACACAGGAACAGTTGTCCTACTGTAGACTCAGAGAAAAGGGAAGTATTTCTTCCAACGACCTTGCCTCAGTGGCCTGTTCATCAGTTCGGAGCATAATGTAGGAGAGAGAGACTGAGCTGAGAGGAAGGAGTCCAGGATTCTAGTCCAGATCGTGCCACTCACTGACTACCAGAGTGACCTTCCCCCTTTGGAACCTGGGATTCCGTATCTGTAAGATTAAAAAAAACTAACCCTCCACTGTGTCCTCTACTCTGTCTCCCGTGAGGAACCAGTAAGGGAACATGCCAGAGTGCTAAGAGGTTGTTATTAGCAATGCACAAAGACTTGTACAAGAGAGACTGTGCTCTCGTTTCTCTCACAGGAAGACTTCAGTAGCTTGATTCTCTTCCTAGGGCACCATCAGGGTGGATTCCTGTGGTCTGTGAGAGGAAAACTTCATTCTGCTCTAATCCAAGGCCCAAGGACAGAATATCTTATGCATAGTCCCTGTGAGTGAGGGGAAATCATATAAACATGTATCTGCACACTTACTGTCATTTGTGTGCTTCCTCCTAGTGGAAACAGAGTCAGGTATTCCCTTCCAGGACACCTCTTTGAAGCTTTTTATATGTGATTTGAGTCTCTGGAGATCTCTGCCCAAACTTCTCTTCCTTCCCTGTACCCCCATAACCTGTGATCCTGTCTCGGAGATAATGTTCTCACCAGCCTTGGAAATTTCAGGACACCAGACATTAAATATGGGAACCCTGTTTAGCACAAGAAGAAATACTTTATGCCACAGGGGTTGTATGGTATATGGGAGTCTGGCCAGGAACAAACCTTCCTGGGTTCCTGGGTGGTTCTCAGCCTAGGCAGTGTTTGGGAAATAAGTTTGGGTTTTCCCACAGGGCTCATCTGGTCCCCACCTTCACTTTTGTAGAAACTGAGGTGTATGATCAGGTGCTGTTCCATAAGGACAGCAGGATGTACAAGTTCCAATGCCTCTAAGACATTATCTTCGGCTATTTTTGTGTCTTCTATAGACGAGGCTTCTACCAAGGCTGCAGTGGGCTCCTGCCTTACCCACTGCCTATCATTACTGTGGGTGAGTGCTGCTTTCAGCCCAAGGCCACGAGCCCTCACCACCCCACCCCACCAAAGAAGAGCCAAGCAGTGGGAGAAAAGCTGGGAGCTGACTTGGGATGTGAGAGGATTAGGCCCAGGGAAGGAGAAGGTTAAAGGAAGAGAAGATTCTAACACTTGCCCTTCTCTTTTTCCATCTCTCTTGGCAGTTGGGGAGCCTCTGACACTGCCCAAAATTTAAAATCTGAGCCTAGAGATGGTAGACAAATACCACACACTCTATACAGATGCCCTGCACAAACTGGTTGACCAGCATAAGATATACTATGGCCACTCAGAGCCCCAAAAGCTGCTTTTCCAGTGACTCAAGGGGCAGTGCATCCAAGGGCAGGCACCTTGGAGGGGAGATTGCTTTGCTACTTGCTGACCCAAAGGTGGAGCGAGGATGATGAGGGTGGGCTCTGTGGGGCAGGAGAGGGCACAGGAACTCCTGTCTTGCCATGAAGCCCTTGCAGTGGCTGTCCCTGGAGAGCTTCACTTAGTCATTCCTCAGCGGGGGCATCCTGAGGCCCCTTAGGCCCAGCCACTGCTCTTTGTCCCACTCCCCATGGCTTTCTTCTCTGAGCCCAAACCCCCAGGTCCCAAGGACTCAAGCTATAGCCAAGTGGCCTGAACAGCCACCACTATGGTTGTTGTTTTGTCTTACTGCCATTTTTTAATTGAGATGTGTTTTGTATACCATAAATTTAACCTGTTAGAAGTGTGATATTCAAAAGACACGCATAAAAACACAGCAAAAGAGCAAAAGGTAAAAGACCATTTCGAAACTCACACAACTCAGTAGCAGAAAAACAAAAAACAATAAAACCCCAAATCACAAATAGTGTGATTTAAATTAACTGAATAGTATATTCAGAGTCATGCACTACTACCACTATCTAATTTCAGAACATTTTTCAGCACCCCCAAAAAGAAATCCAGTGCACATTAGCAGTCACTCCCTATTCCTCCGCCTCCCCCAGCCTCTGGCAACCACTCATCTACTATCTGACTCTACAGATTTGCCATTTCTGGACATTTAATATAAATGGAGTCATAGAATATGTGGTCTTTTATGACTGGCTTCTTTCTCTTACCTTAGTATTTTCAAGGTTGGCCCAAGGTTGTAGCATATATCAATACTTCACTTCTTTTTATGGTTGAATAACATTTCATTGTACTTAATATACCACATCCTTTTATCCATTCACCACCAGATAGACTTTTGGGTTGGCTATTATGAATAATGCTGCTATAAACACCCACGTGAAAGTTTTTGTGTGGTAATGTTCTATGTCCAGATGTAAAGCTTAGCTTATGTCCACTCCATTAAGCTAACAAACATGCCTTTTGGATAGATCAAAGGCATCATACTCAGGATTACTTTCAGCTGGAAAAGGCATTTCACATAGGTCACTTTGTCTTCATGATGGTCCTCTAATGCCATAATCCCAAAGTATTTGCTAGCATCCTGAGAGCCTACTATGGGAAATCCACTTTATATGCATATTTTAAATCCTTACTAAGTTCTATTTAAAAGTTTTTCTTTAAAGCTGTATTCTGAGAATTTTAAAAGAGTAAATAAAAATGCAGATGGATCTTCCTTCAGAAGGTAATCTAAAAAAGACATACTTAAAAACACAGCAAAGGGCCAAAAGTTAACACCATTTAGAAACTCATACAATTCAGTAGCAGAATATTTAAAAAACAGTGATACTTTGATTTAAAAATGGGTGGAGAACCTGAGTAGATGTTTTTTTTCAAAGAAGACATACAGATGGCCAGCAGACACATGAAAAGATGCTCCACATCACTAATCATGAGGGAAACAAATCAAAACCACAGTGAGATACCACCTCACCCCTGTTAGAATGGCTGTCATCAAAAAGACTGGAGGTAAGTGTTGGTGAGGATGCAGAGAAAGGGAACCTTCCTGTACTGTTGGTGGGAATGGAAATTGGTGCAGCCACTGTGGAAAACAGTATGGAGGTTCCTCGAAAATGTTAGAAGTATAATTATCACATGACTGAGCAATCCCACATCTGGGTATACATATCCAAAGGAAAGGAAATTATCTTAAGGAGATGTCTGCACACCCATGTTCATTGCAGCATTATTCACAATAGCCAAGACATGGAAACAACCTAAGTGTCCATTGACAGATGCATGGATAAAGATGCGGTGGTGGTGTGGAATATTATTCAGCCATAAAAAGAAGGAAATCCAAATCCTGCCATTTGGGACAACATGGAGGGACCTTGAGGGCCTTATCCTAAGTGAAATAACTCACAGGAAAATGACAAAAGCTGATTTCACATATACTTAGAATCTAAAGAAAGAAAAGCCAAACTGATAAAAGCAGAGTATAGAAGGGTGGTTGTCAGATGCTGGGGAATGGAGAAATGGGGAGATGTTGGTCAAAGCATACAAACTTCCAGTTGTAAGATGAATATTTTATGGGGGTCTAAAGTACAGTATGATGAATATAATTAACAATAATGTATTATAAACTTGAATATTGCCAAGAGAATAGACCTTAAATGTTCTCACTACCCCCCCACACACACACATACACACACAAATGGCAGCTATGTGAGGTGATGGATGTGTGAGCTGATCTTATTGTGGCCATCATTTTGCAGTATATGTGTATGTCAGTTCATCATGGCATACACCTTACATTTACACAATACTGCATGTCAGTTATATTTCAATAAAAGGTAAGAAAATGTGGGGGAAAGACCATTTAGATTAGCCTTTTTTTCCTTTTCTTAACCTTAAATATTGGGTTGTGGTGGAGTCCCACCCTCTTTTCTCACTTCACACTGTTTCAGGTCTGAAATATCTACTTCTACCCCAGATTTCCCTCATAAGTAAGTTCCCCCAAAACCAATATATACAACTTGAACATCAACATACCCAATACCAGGTGAACCATCTTCCCCGACCCAACTCCATGTTTTGGCATCAAATCCTTTCAATTTTACCACCTTAGTATTAATACAACCTGTCCTCCTCTCTCCTTCTCCACGGTCTCAACATAGTCAAAGCCCTTACCAACAGTCCTAGACTATTGCCACTCCCTCTAGGAAAGCCCTGCCTAATCAATCTACTCATCACACTGCTGCCAAGGTGCTCTTACTAAAGCTGAAGTCTTACTTGTTAGTCATCTGTTTAAAGTCCTTTATTGCTCCCACAATGCTTTTACCAGTGTCTTAAATTATGCTCTGGGTACTGTGAATGCTCTGGGTAGTGAGAACATGTTGATGTTCAAGTTGTATATATTGGTTTTGAGGGAACTTACTTATGAGGGATGCTAATGAATGTTGCATAGTAATCAATAATGGTTCTGTCACTAAATAACTGTGAGAGATGCTGGATTAAACAAAATTAGATGTATTTATTGAAATATTTTCAGTGCCTTTACTATACTAATGGACATTGTGACTATCCAAGAAGTATTTAGCATTTCCTGAACTTCTCTGACAATGGAACACTTGTTTCGAATAACATCAATTACCATCTCATGGTACATTTTAAGTTCCTCTAAATACAGTGTTGGAAATGCTGGTCTACAGGATAAAGTTCATACTCCTTAGCACAGCCAAGAAGCTTGCTGGTAATATAGGGAAAGTGGTTGATTTTATTTGGGAGCCTATCAGATTGGAAGAAGCCTCTTACCAAGGGGTTAATTGGGTGGGTTGAAACCTCAAAGAGGGTGACCAGAAGGTGACTGAATAAAAGGGGAACTGGAAAATCGTTCTCACCTGTTTGGGTTGTCCAGGAAGAGGAAACAACAGGAAATGAGAGCAGAACTTTTCCAGAAGAGCCTCAAGGGCACACATGGGAATAAGGCTATACCTGTAAGAGTAAAAGAAGAGATGGATTGCAATTCAAGCCTTCACTTTCTTGTCAGTATCAGCCACTTGCTTTCTCTCAAAAATTCATTCCTTAGGCTATCAGTCAAGGAGTTCAATGCCTCCCCACACCTAATAGTCGGTTGGTCCATCATGAAGGCCAACAAAGGACCTTCACACTCTGGCCCCTATTAACTTCTGATCACCCACTCTCACAGTCTAAAGTAATATGCTGGACTATTTCATGTTTCCTGAACATTTGTACATTTCTTTGCCTTCGTACATGTTCTCTCTACTTCGTAAAGTCTAGTCATCTTTTAAGCCCACATCAAATATCACCTTCTCAGTGAAGCCTTCACTCAGCAGAATTAATAACCCCAACCTCCATTCTCCCATAGCCTTTTGTTGGCTCTACTATGGTACTTGACATATTATATTACAGCATAATTATTTGCTCTTAGGCAAGTCTCTTCCCACTAATTTGAAAGCTTTTGAGAATAGAAACTATGTTTCACTTGTCACAGCATCCCCAATGTCTAAAACAGTGCCTGGCACGTAAGAGCCACCTAATACATATTTCCAGGAAGGAAAGAAAGGGCTTCACAGGAGATTTCATAGAAAAAAGTCATCAAAGACATAAATTCAGGGCACATCCGTTAGAAGTATGCTGTACAATGCAAGTCTAATAAGGTAAATAAGATAGCAGAGAAGTACAGAAAAGAACAACTGAAAAAAGAAGTTTGAGGGAAAAGTTAAACATAGACTATCCAAGTAAATTATCCATATAAAAGAGATTTTTGGAATTTACAGTTTTACTATAGCTTCAACAATTTGCAAGTAAGCTTCCAGCCATGAAACTCATGAGCACAGAGGCTATGAGTGTGTAGGTCATCTCTGTGTCCTTATCCCTTGGCCCAGTGCCTGACTCACATGGGTGCTTAAGAAACAATTGTTGAATGAATGAATTCAGAAGGTACATGGGCAAATTAGAATTCTGCTAAAACAAATGACAGCTAGTGAATGAACTGAACTGGATCAAATGTAACCTGGTTTTGTTACTCTCCACTCATGGTCAGCGCCATGAAGGGTATGAAGGAGAAACTTTATATTTTCAGTTATATCTTTATGGCATTTATGGATGAAAAATATGGTCTCAGAATACATGCTTTGGGTTGTATTCCTCATACATCAAGGATCTGCTGTATAATGTGATTGGTGATCTCAACACTCTGCTATCAGAATATGACAAATCAAATAAACAAAAATCTATTTTTAAAAAGTATGGAGCCAAGTAATACAATAAATCATGTAGACCAAACTGTCAAATGATAATAACTTACTCAGCAGGACAAGGAATTATGCTTTCTTTTCAAATGCGCATGTATCACTCAGAACTATTATCCATGTACTTGAATTCAAAAATGCTCTTAGTAAGAAAAAAGACAAAGATTCTACATACTGTAGTCAC